GAGTTTGACAATACGTGGCCATAGTCATCGTACCCTTGACAGTGGTTCGAAACTGATGCTCGAGTTGCATTGCCCGAGCATGCTTGTTGTCATGAAAAAGTGCATGAATAACCTGCCATAATTCAGCAGCGATGGAGGTGGTGGAGATGACTAGATCTGAGACTTCGTCAGAGATAGTAGAGAGAATCCATCCTTGGATCAGGGCGTCGAGCTGGAACCATTCATCATCATCAGCAGAGGAGGGAGATGAAGAACCCGAGAGAAAGCCGTGTAGGGTGAATCGGCGCACCAAGAGGAGAAATAACCGACTCCACTTTTTGTAGTTTGGTTGAGAAAAGCTGAGCAGAATCGGGACATGAAGCTTGACGTTGGAGATTGTTGTGAAGGCAAGATGAGGAGCATTCGAGGAGGAGGAAGAGTTTGAGTTTTCTAAGGCTTTATCGGAGGAAGCCATATTGAGAGGAGAAGGTGCAGTTGTTGCCGAGGAAGAAGGGGGGGGGGAGGTGATGCGCCGCTGCTGCCGCCGAGGAGAGGAGGACGGCGGGTGGTGTGCTGCGCTGGGAGAAAGCACGCCGAGAGAGAGAGCAAGGGTAGGGTTAGGGTTTTTTTTTTTGGGTTGAGAAATTATGGCTCTGATACCATGAAGAATTATGAATTTCCTTAAACAATAATGTGGGAGTACATGTGTTTATATACACAAACTATTCCTAATCCTAATCATGGTAGGATTCTACAATAGGAAACAATCTCTATATAATAAATACAGAATATATAATTAACATAAATATAGAATATATTTAACAATTATGGTCTATTCCCATAAAAAAGGTTGAGGGGAATAGCACTGTTGCTATTTGGGGAAACGGAACATCCAGTGGTGCTATTTGTGTAATTTTCTCTATGTTTTTCTTTGACACTATATTGATAGTTAGTGTGACACTTTGATGACGGAAGTGCAGATTGTGATGGTAGTGTGAATGACTATGGTAGAGAGTGGTGATATTAGTGGTGACGGTGAAAAGTGAAAAATAAACGGCGACAATGGTGAGTTTGGACAAAGAGCAGCAAGGTAGCGGCAGAGCAGGGCACTGCGGCAACACATATTCAAGTGATTTTTTTGTTTTGTTTTTGGGAGGTGAGGGATGTAGGAATTAGAGAAAAAAGAGAGCAAAGATGAGATCATAGAGCTTGATTGGAAAAAATCAATCCTTTTTGTGAAAAATAGCAGTTGCGTACGATTTTTTTAAAGCAATTGTAAAAAAACATTTAAAAGAAAGATTAAGTTATATGTACCCCAATATTTATACCCCAATTTGTACCTCGCAAGTTTGTACCAATATTTTGTGTTGGTGTAAAACTAATTTTTGTTAACGCACCAACACTTTGTGCCCGTGTAAATTTTTGTTAACGAACCAACATTTGTGTCAGTGTAAACTATCAAAATGTTTGTGCATAACTGTGGTGTATAAATGAGGTACATTTTTAGGTGTAAATGTAGCATTGTCCGAAACCATTATGATGAACGAAACCAATATTAATGAGTCATTATTGTCCCTCAACTGAAATTCTAAGAACTGAAATCAACAATAAAAAGATCTAATCTGGCCTTAAGATGCAATAAAGTGCAGTGGAGTCCTAATCATGCATGATCATAGTTACCTAATAAAGATCATCGGAAGTCCAATTAGGAGTAAGACTGGAAATGATTAGATTAATTAAATCATTTACTCCTATTTAGTATTTAGAGAAATTTAAGTTTGAACTCTTACTTTCATGATATGGTACATGTTTTACTCCTATTTTGATCCTTCTCCCTATTTATAATAAAGAGGTATGCTAACCCTAACACAACTCAAGTATCTAACCTGTCAGTTCAATAAAGACGTCAAGGGAAACAACCGAAAAGAAAATTCTTAAAGGAGCTTATATTACGCTCTCCTAAGAAAATCTAATTTACAATAATAAATCAACCAAAACATCAAACGAAATCATCAAAACGGCTAGGACGCCTCCTTGTTCTTATTGTATTAATCTTCTTCAAATCTTCTTTGAATCATCCTTATTTTTCAGATCTTCCCCTTCTTCGTCTAATCTTTTTCTTTCAATCATCTTTGTTTCAAGTCTGTCTTGTTATCGCCAGATCTATGGGAGTGAGCTTCGTCTTCGATAGATTATGTGAGTTTCGCTCACAACGTTTTGAAGTTTTGGTGGTTTGCCGGCTGGTTTTAGATCTGCAGAGGAAGAAGAACGGTGGCGAGGTCCTGATCATTAACTTGGGGTCGGTGTCAGGGGAGGCCACAGTCTGAGCCGCCGGCCGGTTCTAGGTCGCTGGTTTTGGATTGATGGGGCTAAGCAAAATTATGTTGACCCAAAAGAAGAAAACAGGCTATAAGCAAAAAATGAAATTCGAAAAGGTCAAAATTTTTAAATAATATCTGTTTCTTATTGTTGTTTTTCATCCGTATTATCTTATTGAAATTACTGAATATGTTCATTTTCCAGATCTAGTCTATGTTTTGCTAAGTTGGACGTCCAACTCTCGTAGGAGATGTGACCAAATTAGATTCTTCCTCACAAAACTCTTTCTTTGAAGAAGGTAAATGATTTATACAATTTATTATAATCCTCAATTTCTGGAAAGAAAAATTGGGAATGAGTTAGCATAAAAAGAAAGGGATTGGAGAGGTTTAGAGAGAGAAGAGGGAGAAGGGGAAAGGGAAATAGAAGGAAAATAAAAAAAGGTGGGGGGGGGGGAAAGGGAAAAATTGAAAAGAGAAGGGAAAGGGGGAAAGGAAAAGAAGAAAAAAAAAGTAATGTGTAAAAATTAATAAAAAGGCTCTCACTTAAGTCAAGAGGTAAAAACCACAGAGACAAGTGATACCTTAGTTAGTAGTTAACGGTTAGAGTGCCAAGCGGTAATAAACCAACGAGGACACTAAAAAAAGAAAAAGAGTTAGTAATAATATATAATATGTGTAATATATATAGTATATATAATATATAGTAGATATTATATATATATATATATACATATACATATACATATATATATATATATATATATATATATACATACATACATACATACATATATATATATATATATATATATCTGTGTGTGTGTGTGTCTATACATATACATATATATATATATATATATATATATATATATATATATATATATATATATATATATATATATATATATATATATATATATATATATATATATATATATATATATATATATATATATA